GCACATAAGTGAAGCTTGGCAATCTGGTCACATCAGAATTCTGGACATTGTTGTGTCTAAGTGTAAGGCGGCATCCAATGATGACACAGAAGGATTTAAATTTATAGCTTCATATCTTTATTCAATTCAAACGGCAGATCATTATTCTTTACAAAGATAAGATTAACTTTAAGGTTATTACGTCATACTATTCGAACAAAGTGAGGCAGATGAGAAGAGCAGCAGCACAGGTCTTAACAGCAGAAGGAAAAGCAATCTCTCTTTCTCTCTGACGCAAAATGGCGCGAATTCTTTATTTATAGGAGCGGTTACGTAATATGCTCAAATGCTCTCGAAAGTACTGGTCTAGGAGGATAATCCTGAAATTGCGGAAAGTTAATTTGCTTGTTCGTGTTTTTTATATTTTACATCTTGGAATATGTAAAATATAACAAAATATAACTGTTTTAAATAATTGGCGACCTCAACATTCTAAATTTGGTGATCTGACCCTAAATTCATCTCTTCTCACAGGTTCCAAATTTTTCTATGTTATGTAACGCTTTAATGCAGATACCTCTTGTCCAATCAAATTAATTGTAAACCAAAACTCTGAAGTGTAAACTTTTCCGACTCCCAACCTTCTACAGCCCACCAGCGGCCGAGCGGTAAAGTCGCTGAAACACTGGTAGTTCTGTCCGAGGTTCGAGTCCCGCGAACGGGCTGGCTGCATGGGCGTTTTCGTGGTTTTCCCCATGTGTAACGTGTATACGAGCCAGTTTCCCTTAGAAAGTCCTTCACGAAGGCATCCTTCCCCTTAAGCAGATAGCCCTCGAGGCTTTGCCGTAATTAAATAATACTAATACCCAACCTTCTTCTTCTGAAGTGTTATGACACTCTCCCCTTTTCGCATAAGCTCTTCTGTTGACAAGACGCTTTTCATCCATGCTGCTGCTACGTACTTGCTTAAAATGACGTCATACCTCAAAATGAAACTTGTATTCAAATATAATTAGTAAACACCTTGCCTACAAAAGGATGATTTGATATACTTAAAAAAAATAAAAATTATGATTATTCAAGTTCAATTGTGATAAATGCGTCATTATGCTTTTCCACTCAGCCCTACCTTCAGCCACTATGATCTTCTCGGTCATCTACTCATTTTAAGATTATATATATATATATATATATTATAAACTAGGTTGTAAGTACAATACTAAAAAGACATATATTTAATCGCTGTCTAGAACAAAAACGTTATTATTTATTTCACAATAATTCACAGTTTTATGAAAGTAGCTTTTCAAAATATCCAGCAATCTTATTCATTTACCTATCGAAAACATTCTGTGCTTGGCTGTACACATCTTTAACTTTTGAAGTTGAGTCTTAGTTGAAATCCTCTGCTGTCTAATTGTTGAAGTCCCTCTGAAGCATTTTACTTTTATTCACCAGGTATCTGATCATTTTGGCATTATTTTCATTTTTACTTTGCCGGCTTTAACCAGGGTACACTTGAATTTAAGAAAGATTATTTGGCAGCATTTACTGACCGTACCGCTCCCATTTCTTCCGAATTATAGTACAACTCCAATCATCCGAATTCTGACTATCCGAATCGCTTTCAGAATTTTCAGAATCAACCGAAGAAGAGAAGGAAAAGGAGGAAAAGAAAGTTCAAGAAAAGGAAAGGGAAGAGACAGGAGAAGATGAGGATGACGTGTGACTTGAGGAATGAAGAAACAGTCTTTTGAAAATTTCCCTAAGGTTTTTCGTACTATTAATGAATACAAACCACAACTAAGTTATGATAATTTTAGAGTGACAAAATGTTGCAGTTATTCAGTATTTTAGTAGACCTACTTGGAATTTAATGCATCGTCGGCGAAGGTATTTTCTCTTTCTGTCTTGAATACATAAGCGCTACAGGAGAAAGTATTCAACAAGAGCGAAAAAATAAGAACTGGAAGTTTGTGAAATTGATGAAAATTTTTCCAGTTCTTCAGAGACTTCCTGAAATCTTCAGAGACTTGATACAAACCACGAAAGTTATTTATAACGTAAGATAGAAAGAAATCGCATGCTGTAGGTTTTCAATCAAAGAATTCGAAAGAAAACTTAGACAAGGATTTACTTACAAAAAATTCTCTTTGTTCATCGTAGATAAATATCTTAATACTCATAAAATGTTTATGATGCCACAGAAATTCTCTCGGTGGATATTTGAATCTCTGTCTCGTTGTTTCTTACAAATAAGTAAAGGTAAGCTGCCACTGAATCTGAACACATTATTTCATTTTATTTTGTCCAATTTTCGGCTAAGTATTTAAGATAACCGAACACTTGTAGCTCAACCCGGGTTCGAATATAGGTGAATGGGCCGAGTGCATGCATTGTCTGTGTAGTTTCCCTTGTGTGTAATGAGAATAAAATAATTTTCCCTTTAAAGTTCGCATACGAAGGCATCCCCTCTTAATAAGATAGATAGCCTTCGTTTGCTAAAATAACCAAACCAAATTTAATTTTAATTCATATAGATTAAATGTACGCAAGTCTTCAAAGGATTTTTACGAATATATATTATTGGATTTTCTGTATCCAACTACAAAAGAATAGAAAATCAATTAATTTTCATAGATAATTCTATACTTTTGTAAGAATAGTAATTAGGAATTACGAAATAAATAAATAGGACTAAAAACTCGATTGAATTACTTAATTAAGATAAAATACTACAGGATTATTACCCCAAACTCCACCCTGATTTTGATATTATTTCTCTTTGGGATGTAATTCTGCAGTCTCATAGCCCATAATATAAGAAGGATACATGGATTTCATTTGAATGCGTTACCTTTTAGTAGAGATATTGCTATTAGTATAGATAAATTTGTTGTGTTTTAATTCGCTTTTATGCTCATTTTCATAATATACATTCTAAACCAAAGAATCAAAGTAATCTAAATTTTTAGAAGAAAATAAAAGTGACAGAGGGATGAAAATGCATTTAAGATGCAAATCGATGAATGGAATATTCAGTCAATGCTAAGATAAGAATTTAAACCAGTTGTGTATACTTTTATTACTAATATACTGATATTTTTAAATTACGGTATACAAATTACACAAAAAATTACCTGTTATTTTTTATGCTGTAGGATTACTTCTATGTGACAGAATTACCACTAAAGATATATTAATACAGATATTATTCGTTTGATTTGTTTCACATCTTGCAATTTGCAGAGACATGTTGGATATTTTAAAAGTTATTGAAAATTCCAATTGAGAATAAAGCACATTGCACAACTTACATGATTAGACAGAAACACCGGTTGATTGTTCCATGATATCACCAAATAATAAGCCTTACTCCTGCATGTTCCATTTTAAGTTTCGTAATTACACAAAATATCTTTTGAGAAAAATATACACCCTGAAGATCTTAAAAGATTACTAGACCAGCGGCCGAGCAAGAAGCTAGTTAAAACATAATACTCTGATTCCATTTAAAATCACGGCGAACACTTGGCTGCAAAGATACTGCGTAGTTTTCCTCATACGCAACATAACTTTCATGTTAATTCAGAAGTCAAACAACAAAAATCAGCGTTATATTTCCAAATTTTCATAGGACTAGTTTCGATGGTTTTACCGAACCATCTTCCTCAGCTGCAAAAGCGCAAATGTTCAATGCGCTTTTGCAGCTGAGAATGGTGGTTCGGTAAAAGCATCGAAACTAGTCCTGTGAAATTTTAAAAATATAACGCTGATTTTTGTTGTTTGGCTTCTGAATTAGTATTTGTTAGGCGTGTTATTGTGTCTTAATAAGTTTCATGGTTTTGCCTAGTTCTCCCTGAAACGACCTCTATAGCTTTTTCTAGGCAGATAACCCTATGTACTTAAATGTCGTTGCGTTTTATCTCCCTTCTCTGACAATAACATCAGATGAAGTCCATAAATTTCGACGTAGCCAAGAGGCAAAGGTAGCCCTTGTTAAAGCTTACGACTTCAGTCCAGGTTTGCTCCTTTTCAAGACATACGACTTAGGAACCAAAGTGACAGTTCACAGATTTGAAGAAGAATTTCGTACGGAAACAGATCCAAAAGTCTCTTATCGTTCCCCCTCCCCAACCTCACCAGACTAAATCGGAGGACTTTCAACCCGACATTATTTTAAAAGAACCCTATGCGCCCCAAATACACTATACATTTGCAAACATCCATGCCTTCTCCAAACACTTGGTTATAGTACAGGAATTCGCTATAACCATGCCAACAGTACGGCGTACTTTGCAATAATCAAATAAACGACACGGAAGCTTGTGAACTTCCGTGTCGGATTTGCGGCAGTTACTGCTACTTCTAAAAAGGTTGGCTAGCTGAAAGTCCCCTTGAATGATTTGGTGGTAGAGAAAGTGTGGCTGGAAACCCTTAGACGTTCCTTTCTAGTGTGTTCTCCACGAAAATGTGGCTCAGCTGAACATTTACTACTATGGGGTTAACCTGCCTGGCCAATATGAAATATTAGTGTAATTTATCTGTACATATGTCCTTTGTGAAGCTGCACTGGTCAGTATAGTGGTTAGTGTTTCTGGCTACCATATCGTTGGGCTGGAATTTAAATCCCGGAGAAGGTATGGATGTTTGTAAATGTTTAGTGGTGTGCTGCCTGAGGTCAGGACTTAGAATACTGGCCAAGCGAAAGTCCTCTCGAGTGGGTTGGTAGTGGAGACAGGTAGGAGATCTTTGGATCCATCCCCCGGGTCTTTTCCCACCAAAATTTGGGCTATATAGTTGGTGCGGTGAGTTTGTATTTGTACGACTAGTAGTAAAATTCTGATATCCAACCACTACTACTTTTACCTGTACCCGCTGTACAGAATACTGTTAAATCATGCTAATATTCTGATTAAATTTTTATGTAAAATGCTCATGAAAATGTTTTTACTTTTCCCTTCAAATCACCATAGAACCGGTTTCTTGGATGCATTTTTCTACGTATTAAATCACAAAAATAAGTGTAAACATAAGCTTTATTTACCATGAATGCATTCAAGATAAAAGAGTTATTACGCATAGATAATTTACGCGTAAAGTCAGGTATATACCACAAAATATATAAATATATACATTAGAGGTCACATTTGTCACGTTTACAGTAATTGGTAAACGGTTAATGTACAAAAAAATCCATTTCACAAAATGGTTTAATCTAAATTATCAAACAACACGCACCATATTTAATACAAACACACAGCTTCCATAAACATTACAATAGACTCATTTAGGCTTAGTGGCAGTGTTCCATTTGAGCAAAAATATATTATGGGATGTAAAATAAAACAATCATTCTCCTGAGCACATGAATTTTAATTATGAAGCCAAGGCAATACAGATTATTATACTAGTGGGAGTTTTTTGCATAAAAATACTCTAGTCCTGTGCGTATGTGCATACATAAATATTTAGCAGATTCTGTGTTAAAGGTATTCACACTTCAGTAGTTTAACGAACATTAGGTAATATTTTTCCAGAATATGAGATTCTATAACTCTGAGATCGGTATCATTTAATAAATAGCGTTTAATTTGCATACAGCCCCCTGTCATGAATGTAAACTGGAAATATTGTATTTCTAAAAGATCTTAATTTACATCAAAGAAAGGTTCCATGTGTTAAATGAGATTCTTCAATAAGAAAGATTTGTTTTATGGTCGCTATTCTTGTTACTCAACCGTAATCGTAAGCAATGAAATGTAATTATCGGAAACATGTTAAATCAATGAGAATTACGTCTTTGCTCGGATTTTGTGACACGTTAACCTGTCTAAACCTTTGCGTCATCGATTTTGACATGCTGCCAACATCATTTTATTAATAGATAAGAGCTTTTAACATTATCATTTGGAACCAGACCATCTGGGAAAAGATAGTCTCCATGTAAAAATTAAGGAAAACCCAAATTCATATTTACTGATCAAAGGGAAAGAAACTTCAGAGAGCTTTCGCTAAGATACCGTGCAATATCTTTTGTGTGAATGTAACATCAAAGCATTATTTCTAGAGTAATTTAGCTTTAAAATTTAATTTCCTTCCTTTAAATCTATAGAACTAAATGAATAAGTAAATATGTCAAATGAAACTAAATGTCAAATGTTCTCTTTCACTACGAATAGAAATAATAATTCTATTCGCAGTGAAATGAATGAATACTTTGATAAATAAGGCAACGTATAAATGCACTTTATCCATTAGTAGTAACAAGCACTTGTTTCAGTGGTTAGAGAACGGAACAAAATCTAATAAAACAATAAAATTTAAGTCTGAAATATATTAATTTTAAGCAGATTTTTTAGTAGATTTTCAGAATATATTTAAATGAATAAGAATAACATAGTATGAGAGTTACAGAAATAAAATATTGCTAGGAGTGAAAGAGAAAGAAATTGCAAGGTACGTAAAAATAAAGTTATTTTAAAATGTAATTAAACTTGTGCTAATAGTCACAAATATCTTGTGTCATTAATGAAAGAAGAAAAATAAATAATTTCAGAAAATTCATTTCTCTAAAACACATCTAAGAAACAAAAGAATGCAGTATACATAAAACTGATACTTATAATTATGAAGGGATACTTTAATTGTTAAAGAGAGATTTTCCTCAGCTAATTAGCTGAAGAGGCCTGCTAATAGAAATTCTCTGATAGAGGCCAGCTAATAGAAAAAGTCAGTTAATTAGATTGGATAAAGGAATAACTGGTTAATTATTTTAAAAAGTCATACAAAATACTGCTCATAAATTGTCGATAGAAAAACCTATACGTTTGTTAAATATTTATTTGTTTTATAAAAACACTAATTTTTCTTTTCCACAAATTCCAACCATAATGCCTTCTTAGTAACTTTTATTTTCAGTTTCTTCATAATGTTCATTGATGACAGTAATTTTTCAGATTCTCTTTACTAACAAAATATTAAAATTACCTTCTGTAGTCATTTTTTGTAATAAAAGTTTGTATAGTTTTCAGTTATAACTAGAAATTACGAGGAATAAAGAATAGCTGTTATAATGAGATATTTTTTATTTATTATTTAACGAAAATTTAAATTCTTGTAGCAGCACCATCAAAATCAATTGTAATTAGTTATTACGTCGTTTAGCAGAATAAAGCGATAATCCATGTACCTATATTAAAAGATTTTATCTTTTTACTTTACACTTTTCTGCAATATTTACTTTAATAACAATGAAAATACTCAACAATCAATGATGATGGAAATTATATTTGAAAACGTAAACACTGCATAATTTGATTAATATTCTTTAAGACATATTAATTAATTTAAAAAGCATTTAATTAATTTAAAAAAAAGCTCACTAACAAAATAATGGAATTTTATTTTAACTATTAATTTTTCATTCGAAGAAGTGATAGATGCCTTCGTTGTGCTTACATTGAGCTACATTTCTCAAATAAAAGCGAATAATGCGAAATGATTGAAAGTCATTTAATTGGATTTCAAAGTTATATACTATAAATATTTCAGTATAAACATTTTAAATATTTATTCAAAATAACGTATCCGTTAAAATAGCTTAGTTTTCGCATATAAGAAGAATAAAGTATTTTATTTACTACAATATATTAATGCCGAAGTAAGTAATAACGTTTTATAGCTTTAAATTTATTTTGCTTAAAAGGAAAACAAATATTTATTTTAATAGTCAGTGAAAGAAGTGATACTTTTTATACATATTAGTTATGAGAATTAATATATACAGCAACACTGGAGATAATTCTTCATATAATTTAAATTTCAGCAAAATTTGTGAAAAAGGAAAAACGCCTAGGAAAGTTTTCTATTTTGTATGCATATTTTTCTGAAATTTATTATTTATATGATTTTTTATATTTAACTATGTAATGTAAATACGTGCTGTTGTGAGAATGTAATATAAGAACTCTTATAAAAGACTTTGAACTCATTATTTCAAACGTAATTTTGTAAAACGTTGTTTAAATTTCGGCAGTTAAGTTTTAAATTTATTTTACTACAGCTACCTAAAAACTACTTATTTTATATATGAAGAAAATAATTAAAATATGTACTTTTTATACTTGTATATTTAATGATGAATAAATAATTTTTATAAATTGTGTTAATTTAAAGAGCCATTTTTTGACTATACTTGCTTGATATCATTCTATATTGTATTCTTTTATTGACGGAAAGTATGCTAATGAGAATAAAGAATTCTATCAAATTACACATATATTTCCAGAAATCATGAACTATTATTGTTTTCATTTTTGAGCTCATTAAGTTGACTTTATCATCAAATATATATATAGCAAGTTATGAAGTTAAAAAACATAGAATTAAGAATACAATTGAATATAAAAAATATCAAACAACTATCTCATTGTTCTTTTAAAATAAACAAAAGTTTTTTAATGTTAATTTAACGTAACATTTCATAAATATTATTAGATCACAGAAAATTCAAAAATGTATGAAAAGAATCAAATATCTAGAATTTTTATAAATAGTCCTTCAAATTATTTATAAGATCATGCTTTCTTTCATGCATTTAACATGTGACAAACATGTAACAAATTTCCATTCGAGCACTTAAACGTGATATTAATGACGTGATTTAAAAGTGATTAGTTTAAAAAAATTCTTTAATTACATATCAAATACGAAAGTTGATTTCCGGTTATGATAAATGAAAATGTAAATTCAGTAGTTACAAACAGGTCTGCATCAAAGCATAGAAAAATGTCAGCAATGCTTACACTCATTTTGTACAAATATACAAATTAATATTTCAAAAAGGCTTGCGAAATGTATTTTTACTATAGAAAAAAAACTTAAAAAAAGAGTTAGTACTAAAATATAAATAAATATTTGGAAATAATTAATAATATATGGCGTTTGGAAATATAAGTAAACATTTGGCATAAATAATTTTTGTTACCAAACAAAAAAGAAATATATAATTTGAACAAATAAAAGATACAAAAATACTACTAAAATTAATTCTCCGAAAATCATCTAAGCATAAGTTTGAAAACATAATGTAATTGTATGTTATAAATTAGAGGCTAGACATGAAAATTGATATATTTTTTATTCTTCATAACACTGCATTAAAAAACTATTTTAAAAATTTATTAAAGTTATCAGAAAGAACATACATCTGAGTAGCGTTTGCTATATGCAATAAATTTCTATGGATTAAATAATGAACCGTTATATGTATTATATATTCGCCAATCGAAATGCGAAAGGTCTAAGATTATTTAATATATACAGTAACGAACTTCGTGTTACGGTCTCTTGTATAAGGAATTAAGTTAATAACGCATCTAAATAAATCGACGCTACTGAAACTATGCATAATTAAAGTTAATAAATTAAAAGTTAATCTGATTATAACTTATCATTCATTACTAAGTGAAAATGCCAAAACTAGTCCCTAATTTGCTTAAAATATGTTGCTTTAATCATTCTCCATCAAAGCAGTTATGATAATTTTTAATATTAAGACCAGTCTGAAAAGTTTGCAGAATATAAGCCGTGATTAGTTAAAATTAATTACCATTTTCGGAAAACATTTCTCTTCACTCAATTTCATCATGCAAGGAATAACTCAAACAGCATTGCATCTTAAGAATTAATTTTAATTCTAAAGGATTTGCTTATTATGAAACTGTTAACAATATGAATATGTGTCATTGCATCAAAAGAATTTAGCTTATCTCGAAACTAGTATAAGTATGTGTCCTTTCATCAAAATAATTTAAAATTTGTAACAGAAGCAAAACATTATTGCGAACTTTAATGAATTGTTAGATAAAACTTTAAATTTGTATTAACCACTTAGCAGTTCAAGAGATTCCAAAAACCCGGTCCCCAAAATATGTACTTTTATGCCGAAATTATAAGAAAACTGCATTTATTAACAAAATATGTGTACAAAATAATTTATTGGTGAAAAATTAAGTATATATATGTATGTAGAATTATATTGATTATCACAACCACTTTAATGATGCCATTTTGTCATACAAGAGTGTAAAAGTAGTAAACTTATTCTCCATTCCTTGATATTTCCTGTGAATTACAGATTTTGAAATTCCTAGATACAAGTCAAGATTTCAACTCCGTATGATATATTTTAAAACAGGTTACAATACAAAGTCCCGCACTGCAATCCGGATTTGCTTAGAAAATAGGGTCGTTGTTTTCAGAACTTCTACAGTCATTGCTACTGTAGTCAGATTAGGTTCACACACAAAACAAATTAAGAATAAAAACTATATAAAATAAAATTGTAAATCTCAATTATTAATTTTTCATAATAAGCTTCATATAAAATTTGTTATATGGATTAGTAATGCCATCTATGAATTAAACTAGAAGAAATTATACGGATAATCAGTGCCGTGAACTTTGAAAATATGATGCGCGCACCACATACGGGCAAATCACAGTGTGCACAAAAAAAGAGTTATTCTTTTGAGGAAAAACTGCTAAGTGGTTAAATTTACGAAGTAGTAAATAGTTAATTAAAATTCACATTGAAAATTAATTGTTTTCCTATATTTTCCTTAAACTGTAATAAGTTATTTCTAGTACGTAAAATGTGCTCTAATAAATTGATTGACAGAACTTGCAAAACAGCGACAAAACTATCATACAGAGATATGACAGTTTGAATTATAGTAAATTACTGATTGTTTGAATTATAGTGTTTCAGAACAGAAGATTGAATATGTACAAACGATTTCTCTCTTCCAATACTTTTAATTTATGTTTTAATTTTTTATTTTTAATATAATATAAACAGTTTTTTAGTTGTATCAAGTATGAGTTATTTTCTAATTATGCAGTAGGTGTTCACATGTTATACAATAGCTCTATTTATATATAGGATCTTCCTGCATCCTTTTAACCCTCGATTGAAGTATTCTAAAAATACAGAAGAAGGCTCTGTGCATAGGAAAGCTAAGGGCTGTACCGATGAAGGTATTACAGATATTGTATTACGGATTATTGTATGTATTACGGATTAAAAAGTTTTATTATGCATCTAAATAAATAAAAATTGGAGAATTTTCATCTAAAAAAATTAAATAAAGTTTTTAATTACGAATTTCTAGCGAGATTTCAATTCAGTATGAATAGGCCTGCAGTATACACCTAAAAATACTTAAACTAAAATACTAAAACACAGATGATAAAAAGTGAAGTAAACGAAAATCTATTGCAAATAGCTCTTTTAATATTATATATTTTTGTAAAAAGGACCAAAAAGAAGATTCTGATAACACTATCAGTTTTGATGGAATTTTCGGTGCTGAATGGAATATATGTATCCTAAAACAAGGTCAAAGTAAAACTATCTCAAAAGACTCCTTCCTGGGACATTGCTTAATTTTATTGGCTTCAAGGAAAGAAAAGAACATCATCACATTTTTCGAAACTATTTTTTATATCCATTCAAGGTACTGTCTCAGTGAGATAATCCTTATTACACGGATTACTAATTGCTAATGTGCATTTCCTGTCACTTAATTCACATATTTAATTATCCAAAAAAATTATGCAAATGTAGTAGTACATAATAATAAATATAGTATTGAATTTATTTCACTTCTTATCATCTGTACACACGTTATGCGCAAAAGCACGTTTTCCTGTATCAGAGAACTCTCCAAATCTTTGGAAATGTTTACCTCGCTTCCCTTTCGAGATAAAAAATTTAATTTCGTCAGTTTGCTGTCAAAGTCGATATTAATGTCTGGAGTCGGCGGAGGACAATAGGTTTCCTTTCAGTAGATCTTGGCTTCGGTATAAAAATGAAATGCTTACTTAAGAAGTAAGTTTTAACTGTTCAACAATGCTGAGAGAGACAAAATACTTTGAGTGTCCGTAGTGATTTAGAGGAGAACGCTGTTAATGAGGACTGAAGCTTTGATGGCAAAGAATCATATTTTGAAAGAATTTCTAAATGTTGATGAAATGTGATCTAGTATATTAAATTATTTAAAGTTAGCACCGCTGAGGAATATTTGATTGCAAAATACCGCAGCATAAAAAATGATAAATATTTAACTGTATTTGTAAATATGAGAATTCAAATTTGCCTAAATTTAAGTAATTGCAAGAACTGTAATATCAATAAATACAAAAGTGCTATATTTTTACATAATAACAGAAGATAACAATAATTAATTATTATACGGTATCTTACATAAAATAATATGTTGTACGAATAAAGTATGCCATTAAGAAGGTTAGAGGAAATGATAATTTTTCAAAACTTCAATATACCTCCTTATTCAAATTATGAGTTCTAGTGTACTGGTCTTTCTATGTTTTATTGCCTCGTTAAGCTCATGAGAGAGAGAAAAAGAGATGATACAGTTTTCTTTTCTTGCAATTAACGCTTGGCAAATAACTTTTTATTTAAAAATTATCAGCTGCCAATGCTATAAAGTATGCCTTTTGAAGCCATTTCTAATTTGTTGGGCCTTTGTCTTGGGAAGGTGGCCCTCTTGCCTGTAACACATTCATGATGTCAGCGCCTTGATAGCTACAAAGTTCACAATAACCAGGAGCTCCTTGTGGTCCTGGAGGGCCTCTCATTCCAGCTATTCCTTGCTTTCCAACTGGTCCTCTTTCACCAGGTCTGCCAGGAAGTCCCACTCCAGGGGGACCAGGGGGACCTGCAGTAAAAATACGATCAATAGGTGACATGCGCACAAGAATTATGAAGTCAGTATATTTTTAGATAGTACTATCTATTCTACTGTTAATAAATGATACATCGAAAGTATTTAGTAATATAAATTTGTAATTGTATTACATGTATATGAAATGATGCCTAGGGAATGGATAACGACGGATGTCTCAACGAAGAGGTGTCGAAGTTTTGATTATATTAATCAGGCGATTAAACCAGGTATGTCAAACTCACTATCTGGAGCGGGCCAAGTAGTCATTAGTATACACTGCAGGCCGCAAGGTAAAAAAATATATTTTCACACTTAATGATGTATTTTAAAAGTGAGTAAATACTTACTTGAAACACAGATTATATAAAAATAGAAAAAAATAGAAAGCTTTCCAGATGATTGTTCAGATGATGGAGAGACAAATGATTGTTCTTAGAGACAGGTATGAAAGATGAGACAGATGATTGTTCTTCGGGATACCACCTTCACTACATTTTTGGTTGAGGTTTGAGAAAACTTGAATTTCTATTAATTTCATATGTAAATAGGGCCGCACTTTCTTCAAGTAGAATGATAAAATATTTTTAAGGAGAGACAGTCTTGAGAGTTCGTTTCAGCTCCAGAGGTTGTACATACATCTCGGTATTAGGTAGAAATCAAGTTTTTATGAATATATTTTAATTATATACTTTCTGTTATTTTTTGAGGCCAACAGAGGACAGCAAGAAAATGATTCAAGGGCCGCATGCGACGCACGAGTCGCGAGTGTGATATGCCTGATCAAAATCAAAATGTTCTAATCAAAATATTTCACATTTTATCCGCGATTATTTATATTTATTAGTACTCAAAAGATATTCTCTTTGAAGTTAAAAACGTTTCGTGAATAAATCGATGACTACAAGTAATAGACAGTGTTTCGGACAACATATTTATTTCAATTGATGCAAAAGTAGAAATACACTGATGAAAAGCGTTAGCTTTAAAATGTATGAAACACATTCAAGTTTTAATATATTTTATGCGGCAATTCAATATTTTATGATACAATTTTCATCATTCGTTATAGGATAGGCATCTCTCTAGCAGATAGATTAATTTCTGCCCCAATCTGGAAAAAAATGACCGATTTAATTGGCTGGTTGCTTAGTTGATTCGTTCAAGGCAAACTTACTAAAAGCCAAGAAAGAGATGCGTTCAGAGACGGCTTTACAAATAAAATTGGAAAACTATTAATTTTATATATGAGGAAAATGCTCATGTAGTCAGTCCACAGCGTTCTTCAGAATTCAAACTAGCCCGAACTACCGGTATTCAGTAGTGCCTCTCGGTATGTCGGTGAACCTGCTCGATATAATACATTCCACATTAACTGGGATATAGGTTTTGCATTTCACGTACGCTGTCAGAGAATTGTTAATTAAGTTCCAAACATTATATAGACTCATATTATCTAAATAACAGCGTTTATCTTAATAACCAGCGTTATCGTATTCGAATTTCTCCCTATTCTACACACTCATACATAAAAGTACTTTCTGTTGGCAAAATTCTTCTTCTGTAAATTAAAGCCACGAAAGGAAGCTTATACGTCGAAATTCATTAGAAGCTTGACTGTCTAGTCTTATGTCGTATTTGGCGGCACAGGACTGCTACAGCCTTAAACCGTTCATGTGAGCTGTATGCTGCCACTGTAAAGCTTCATAGGATCACTAACTGAAGGCTTCACGAGTGCCAGAAGACCCGCTGTTTTGTGTCCCGTTCGAAAACATGCGCCTTTGATCAGACCTCAAATGGAGCACCGTTCAATTAGTACTTACATTCAGCGTACTCGGAGAGCCTGGAACATGATCATTAAGGTGGTTTTAGATGTAGCAGTATGAGCAGGCATTATGTGGCACGTCCGCACACTCTGCATGTGTTTTCTAAAGATTCTCTGACTTCTGTGAGGTATAGAGAGAAGATCTATATGCCTTTGTTCGCCTTTTTTAAGGTCACAGTTGATCCTGGGTTCCTGTTAGTGGACGGCAAAAGTTGCCCATACAGGTCTTAGCTGGTTGACGATTAACTGGAAAGTGAGAAAATCCACCGCATGTATTGGCCAGCCAAATCCCCTGACCATAACCCTATGAAATATGTCTTCAACATTGTTGAGAGGGTAATTTCATCTTGCCATTCCCCTCCGAGAATCACCCCAAAGTTGAAAACTTCCTTGCTGAGTGGAATCGACTGCTCCTGTCCAATATGTCGTCACGCTGCGTGACCTGTCTGGCTATGAGATAGGATTATACCGCACTCATTTAGAGTTCCATATTACAATGTGAACTTTCAACATCCCTGCACTATGGGCTGTACTGATAATCATATGAGTACTTAAAATGACTTCTGTGAATATATCTCAAATGAAGAGCTTCATATTATCTGATTAATGAAGGGAAATCTAATGTAGTTTATTTAACTAAATAAATCTCATTATTCCTAATAACTAATCCTCTTCGAAAATAGCTTTTGCTCGATCTTGTGAATGACAGGTTCTACTCATATTTTAATTAAAGCACTTTTTACTGACAAACTGCAGGTAATTTAATTACGAATAACGAGACATTGACATTTCAGATGAATCTTCAATGAAAGCGGTGACAACTATCTCAATTAATTAATTTTATCCCACGCTTAAATCCTTACAAATGCATGTTTTCCAAAACAGTCATTTTTAAAATACCAGAAGTAATATGAATTTACTTGTGGAAATGTGTAGAGATGGAGAAATAAACAATTTTGATGTGATTATTTATCTATTCACAAGAGTTCATTATTTTAATGAAAAATGGGGAAAAATGTTTAAAATGCCGTTTAATCAAATTAATCATTAAACTGTAGATATTTACTCCAGAATCACATTTCCAACTGGATTATTATCTAAGCCTAATGCGTTGGAATGTTATTCTGATCATTTTCATTGTAGAGGTGTAGAAAAAAGGAAGCATAGTAACATAAAGAAATACATCAATTTACTAATAAAAAATGGTCTTGAATTCCTGGAATAATTATCGCATTCTTTTTTCCAGTTATAGGCAATTATTAGAGCAAAGCCAAATGTTTATGCACTCAGTTAGCAGATATCTTTAAACTCATTTCCTGACAATTTATAGTAGAATGCTGTTCAGTAAAAATTATTATTTTTTCCACGTTTAAAGAAACGACAGGAAGTCTGAATAGTATTTTTCTGACTACGCAAACTACAGAGAGAAAATAGAAATAAATGGATACGTTGAAGTTTATAAATTTAAAAACATTATTAGCTTTTTAAATAATCTATAGCTGTGCTACAATAACGGGTGAATATGCTTGAGAATTCGTGTCATTAATGCTTTTACTTGACTTTTCCACGGCCACAGCTCTTTGTGTAAATATTTTTTCATAGGTATTCAGTAATTTTAAAACTTTATAATATGAAATTTCTATTTCCCTGCTCTAAGAAAAGCATTTTAATTTTCTTTTCCGGGAAATGAAAACGTATTAAGTACGTATACATCAGTACGTATACTTCATGGTAAGTTTTATTAAATTCCAGAAAAACGATATTTGTACGAATATAGTGTTATCAGACTAATGCGGTAACAGAGATCAGCACGACGATAACGATAATTGATGGTACAATTTATCTTGCTTTATTTGCTGTAATATGCTACCTGATATCCTTTTATAATTTGCTATGTGATTTCAAACTCTTCTCTGCTAAGAAAATAATTATATTACTTTCAAATTTTTATTTTCCTACATTAGTCCTGTCATTATAGGTCATAAACGTATTCGCCTGCAGCCCGGTGCACAAGACGGCTGAAAACAGGTAGTTTGGCCCGGGTTCGATTCCTCGCGAATAGGTTGGCTGCATGCGTGGTTTTGTGGTATTCCCCATGTATAAGAGTCAACTTTCCTTAAAACATCATAAGACATCTACCCTAATCACGTGTGCTTTGCCATAATCGAAATATCCTTAGAATGTCCTGAATGTCCTATCCTAAGACATTGAAGCGGTTAGGAAAATAAATTTAGTGTGCTTTGCCATAAGTTAATTAATCTAGTCCAGTGGTTCTCAACCTTTTGACTAACGCGTATCATCTAAACAAAAATTGAAAACCTTTAGTACCACCACTACAAAGTGCTACTACCACCACCACTCTTGAACAAAGCTCAGATCGCACAAATTTACGAGTGTTAGAGAAACAACTCGATCAAGATGTTGGGGTTTTAATTTTTGAATTGAATAGTTAAAAATACTTTGCTTCTTTGCGTACCACCTATTTTTCTCTTGCGTACCACCGGTTGAGAACCCCTGATCTAGTCATTAACTTTGTTTCTGCGAGTAGTATGCAACAGAACTTATTCAATATCTTGCATGTCATTTTTCGACAAAAGTTTTATATGTTTTCCCCATTGCATCAGAAATACCAGTTCTAGGGTTTTAAATTTTGTCACTAACTCTTTTTAAAATTGCTAACTCACGTCCGACATTAATAATTAGTAAGCATAATAAATGCAAACCGAAAACGATATATTATACGCAGTAAAACTTTATTTAATGAACTTAGCAAAATAAAGAACACTCCTGAGTAATTGAAATTATTAAGATATTAATGGAAGAAAAAATCATTATTAAAATTTTTTAACGTATAATTAATATCTTCGAGAAAAAACAATTTCAATGAGACAATAAACTTAAAAACGATTTCGAATAGCTTTGTTAAGTACCATTAAAGGTTAATTGAAATATTAAAATAAAAATAATCTTTAAAATTAATGAATTCGTGCTTAAAGAAATTTAGAATTCGCTTCCTTTCTTCCGTATCTTTCAGTTTTGTTTTAACCCGCAAGAACGCGCGTCGGGCCTGCGAGGCCCGGTCTTTACAAAAACGTGATACACAAATTTCTCTCTTTGGTGAAATATTTCGACCTTCTCAGTCTTTGAAAAGTTCATTAAAAATTTCAAA